TTCATTTGCACACGACCTTAAGATATTGTGTGATCTTTCCAACAATATATGTTGTGTACATCAAACAAAATCGGAACAGCGTTTGTGATCAAGTTTGCGCGGAGGCACGCGACTCAGCAAGAACACGAAAAACGATGGGATAGAAGAGCAACACGAAGCACGGAACGTCATGGACGATGATAGAAGATTTAGCCGATGCAAACCACGAAGTGTTTTACGTAGCGTGAAAGATGGAAGTGCACGCAGCCATGGAAAGAACAGAAGAACGAGAATATGACGGGAGCGTACGGGCCACGGAAGGGAACTAAATACATAGACACCCCAGCATGCTGAAATGCACGGCTACGGAAGAGCACGCAACTTCGAAGCCACTGTAGAGCACGTAGCGGTAAGAGTGCACGGACAGTAATTCTCCCATAGCACCACGGTACAACACGGAGCACAGTCGACCGACCAAACGTGAAAACGCGATGTATCATAAACGGAAGATCATCCGAGCATTGAAGCCCGATATTAGGGTAGAATCGGAGCTCACCGAGTCCGACAGCACGACACTACGGTAGCTAACGATCTCACAGACGACAGACCAACCGCAACATCGCAAGCTAACACGATAGCATGGACTGTGCCACTAAGCCATAGGGAAGCACAGCCACAGGAGCTATAGACGGGAGATCTTTGAGCCACGGAGCACGATACCAGCGTAGAAGCTCAGCTCCCCGAGCCACGGAGGACAGTAGCACATTAAAACTCGATTGCACGGACGACAGACCAGCCACGAAAATCACGGGGGTGCTTGGGGTGACCACGATTGCACACCGTGGAGCACGAAGCCCATGTAGAGCACGATAATACGGGCAACGCAGATGCACTACGCGAGCACAATACCATAAATACCATTACCACACCGCGATTGCTCCATAGCGTCGTAACGCGGTCGATGGAATCTTACCAGGAGAGCGCGATACACGGGCGACGGAACAACACGACTGCGTGGAGGCACCAAACCACGGATTAGGACCCTTCAGGTAGAGTACTTGGATGGGAAACCAACGACCACAAAAGACTTTGAGCCACGAAACCAGTGCAGCCCCCGTAAACGTTTGAGATCAGGAAATAGTTAGCATCCACGAAAGAGGGTCATACTACTGAAGAGCATGAGCCCAAGAGAGAGGGTCCATAATTACCAAGCATCATGGACCACGGGTGAGCAGGAAACCACGATGCCGGGAAGATCACATAAGATCGCAGGCCATTGAAGAACATGACTACAACCTGTAGTACGGATAACCGAAATGTACCAAACCACGATATTGTACGGGTCCACATGATACTACGGAAAGGCAAGTGGTTAAATACACGATGTCAAGATCTACGGGGTGAAACACGCTCTCTAAACACGCGACATCAAGAAGCACTTAAATTTGCGGCCACCTCATCTACAACAAACCATGCCACTCCGCCGCGTAGCGGCGGCGAACGGCTAGTCTTACCCCCCTAGTGGAGTCTGACGTGTGTCTGTCCGTACGTCCGTCCGTTACGGGCCTGTTTGCTAGCATGAACCTTTCCTCGCACATGGCTACACTCCACCTGTTCGGTACTATATTTTCCCATCCTTTCGACTGCACCTATCTTTGTGACTCGGCTTGACTATGCAAAAATTGCACTTTTAGCCATGAATAGGGTTAATAAAACTCACGCTAATACGCGCGTTCTACTGGCTGCCGAGCGCAGCGAAGGCGGCCTCGATTCGCTAAAAAGCTGCCGAGCGCAGCGAAGGCGGCCCCCAATGGTCATTTTGCTCTCATTTTCAGCTGCGGTTCGCAAGGCCACGCGAAGGGCGCTGCCTGTGTACGCGTTAGTTAGCTGAATTAAAAGGCGCCGATGAGCACACACGTTCTCTATCGTCGTAGGTGCTGTTGATAAAATTTGTAGGCTTCGCTGACTCATACTTCGGCCTCAATCAAAACATTAGTACTTATTGGTTTAAATATGATTTGATTTGCTTCGTAGTAGGTTTGTAATAATTTAACTTACAGTACTGTCTTGCGTAGTACTATTCTTAAGACATTTCATATTTTTGCTTGCAGTTATTTGTAGTAGTAGTCCACATAATTATTATGCTAACGTTTATAATAAATCACACCTCTACTACTACTATTAATAATTGATACTTTAGGATGTGAAAACTTTAAAATATGACGATTATGACTTCCCACCCGACACCCCCCTGCACCCCACACTGCCCCCGGGAAAAGTATCATCTTCCTCTGTATTTGCACACGACCTTAAGATATTGTGTGATCTTTCCAACAATATATGTTGTGTACATCAAACAAAATCGGAACAGCGTTTGTGATCAAGTTTGCGCGGAGGCACGCGACTCAGCAAGAACACGAAAAACGATGGGATAGAAGAGCAACACGAAGCACGGAACGTCATGGACGATGATAGAAGATTTAGCCGATGCAAACCACGAAGTGTTTTACGTAGCGTGAAAGACGGAAGTGCACGCAGCTATGAAAAGGACAGAGGGACAAGAATATGACGGGAGCGTACAGACCACGGAAGGGAAATAGATATACAGACACCCCAGCATGCTGAAATGCACGGCTACGGAGGAGCACGCAACTTCGAAGCCACTGTAGAGTACGTAGCGGTAAGAGTGCATGGACAGCAACTCTCCCATAGCACCACGGAAGAGCACGGAGTACGGTCGCCGGACCAGGCATGAAGCGGCGGGAATCCGAAAACGGGAAGTCATCGAGCATTAGAGCACGTTATCAGGGTAGAACCAGATCTCACCAAGCCAGGGAGCACGATACTACGGTACCTAACAATCACACGGACGACAGACCAGCCGCGACACTACAAGCTAGCACGATAGCATGGGCTGTGCCACTAAGCCATGGGAGAACGCAGCCGCAGAGCTATAGACGTAAAATCACCGTGCCGCGGAGAACGATACCAGTGTTGAACCTGAGCTTACCGAGCTACGGAGGACAGTACTACATTAGAACTAGATTGCACGAACGGCGGGCCAGCCACGAAATAAACGGGGAGGTGGGCGCTTGGGGTGACCACGACTGCACACTGTGGAGCACGTTGCCATTGTAGAACACGATAACACGGACAACGCAGATACACTACGTGACCACAATACCATAGACAGCATTACCACACCGCGATTGCTCCATAGCGTCGTAACGCGGTCGATGGAATCTTACCAGGAGAGCGCGATACACGGGCGACGGAACAACACGACTGCGTGGAGGCACCAAACCACGGATTAGGACCCTTCAGGTAGAGTACTTGGATGGGAAACCAACGACCACAAAAGACTATGAACCACGAAACCAGTGCAGCCCCCGTAAACGTTTGAGATCAGGAAATAGTTAGCATCCACGAAAGAGGGTCATACTACTGAAGAGCATGAGCCCAAGAGAGAGGGTCCATAATTACCAAGCATCATGGACCACGGGTGAGCAGGAAACCACGATGCCGGGAAGATCACATAAGATCGCAGGCCATTGAAGAACATGACTACAACCTGTAGTACGGATAACCGAAATGTACCAAACCACGATATTGTACGGGTCCACATGATACTACGGAAAGGCAAGTGGTTAAATACACGATGTCAAGACCTACGGGGTGAACCACGCTCTCTAAACACGCGACACCAAGAAGCACTTAAATTTGCGGCCACCTCATCTACAACAAACCATTTCACTCCGCCGCGTAGCGGCGGCGAACGGCTAGTCTTAAACATCTACTGCAGCAACCTGTCTGTCCGTCACACTAAATTGTCGTGCCTGTCACGCTTTTCCGGACAAATCATTGGATAAAATAATTTAAATATTTCTACTGGCTGCCGAGCGCAGCGAAGGTGGCCCCGATTGGCCTAAAAGCTGCCAAGCGCAGCGAGGCGGCCCAACTTCCGCAACCCTGCGGGCCTATGGGCCCGCCTGAGCCACAATCTGCCAGCCTACCATGCGAGGAGTGAAGCGATTCGTAGCGAGCGGAACGGAGGCAAAACACAAGGAACGACATTTATTCTTTCTTGCCGCGTAGCGGCGGCACTCGGCTAGTGAACAACAGTCACAACACCGGAGGGTGCTAAATGTAGTGACGTAAGGTCTAGTATTGTAACTATCGGGGATTGCTTATCTTAATATTTGTAATGATATCTTGATGTTTGCGAATATGAATAAAAAGAGCTACTATGCTTGCTCCTCTCCTATCGTAGCTTTGACAGCTCATTAAAATAGTAAGAGTAATTAAAATGACTGATACTCTATATATACAGGGCTCCCAATAATGGCATTAATCGCAATCAAATTTCGAGGGTCCCATATAATATGCATTTGAATCTGAGAAACCCGTCCACGCATAATGGCCAATAATGGAAACCACATAATATGTGTGAGACAACCCAAAACAAAATGATCTAAGTACGAATCGCGATTTAAGCACTCTAAACGAAAGCGGGGCGTCTCCTCTATCTTTTGAGCCCTTATAAGCTACATAATGCTTAAAACTGAACAAGTTGTGGTCGCCCACAAATATTATCTCCATTTATGGACCCTCGAAATGACGATACATTTAGGAGTGTTGTGAGCTCAATATTTTTTCAATTTTAAAAATTCAAGTGTTATTTTAAAGCTCTTGTTAAAAGCAATTGAATAAGGGTAGGTTTACAGTTTTCTCGATGGAAGTTTACAATAAATGTCACTGTTTCGATTAAGTGCGAAAAGTAATTGGCCAATTTCGTACGTTAATTGATTCAAATCATTAACAAACAAAAAACAATGCACTTCTGCACCATCCATCACTGGACCTCGATGTGGCGGCTAGCAAGTAACCATTCCCGTGCCATTGCCCTTAGGCTTTAGGACTCCGGCTCTTTGTTGTCCGAGTGGGTGATTCTCAGGGTCAGCGATGTATTCTGTCGCAGTCTTCTCCAGGATGGCGGAGGCCGCTTCCGCAAGTTTCATGAGCTTCCAGTACTGCGACCTTGTCATCTCGTGGGGCTTTTCATCAAGACAACACAAGGCGCCAATGACGACTCTCTCAGGCTGTCCCGGAGCTCTTGGCACACACGGGATCGACACGGGGAAACCAGCGTAGAACCGAAGACTGCGCATCGTCACGGGCGCGATGTGGTAGAACCGCATATCCGCCTCAGCGTGACGGACGAGCAACGGCTTATCGTCCATGACAAAGTGCTGACAGAATGTTTGCTCGCGCGGATTACCGGTACCGACGTCCCAGTATTCCGGTGCGTTGGTCGCCAGCAGAGTCACCACATCACGTTCAACGAGTGTGACGACGCTGTGAGGGGCCTTCATTTCTGCCGCAGCCAGTGAGCAGATCACGTTGAGTTCAGAGACATTGGCGACGTCGTGGAGGCGGAAATGCTCAATCGCGGCCATGCGAACCTCCTCGTTCGCTGGAATGGGGTAGATAATCGGCTCTGGCTCCCCCTCCTTTGACTCTTCTTCGTTCTGGACAAGAGCCGGCATCATCGGATACGGACGGGAGTCGGCACTCGCGAACTTGCAGGCGTCCAGCTCCGTCGGACGTTTCGAGATGTCCATCGCTCGCTTGGCTGCTTCGGTTGGCTGTTGACGGTCACTCGCAGCGTTGAGAAGATTGGCTTTACTCTCTGGTCTTGATTTTGGTCATTATTAGAACTGGGAGTCACCGAGGAAGGGGGGGTGAGGCGTGGGCAGCCACAGTGGACCGAGGCCGTCACCGCACACGCGGGGCGGGGAGCTCCGAGTTTTTTGACTCCCATCGACTCCGAAAACAGCGACGAACTCCGAGGGCGCGCGGGATTGGAGGAGGTGGACGTGACGTACAGGAGACGGTCGGTCTAATCTCGTCCTGTCCACGCTAGAACGTGACGTGAGCAGGGTATGG